GGTCTGTATCTCTTGTCTCTGCAATAATTAGCATTAAATATACTATTACTGCGAGTTACAATGTATTTGTTTCCAGGGGTGTGACGGAAAAGCTTACAATCCTTACAAGCCACCGCGTCCGACAGGACATGTTCGGCCCCGACCGAACCACCGTTCTCACCTTCTGTTTACCGCCTTGTCAATTTTGAAAACCTGTTTTTGAAATGCTACCAGCAGCTTAAACTGTGTAATTTTCAAGAGCGGCACGGAGGTGTAACAGCAGAACATCTCTGCTAGTCCGTCCTTCCATGCCCTGGACCACCTGCAAAACCACAGAAATGTCTACGTCTAGGACGCGGCTGTTCGCTCATAGAAACGTTCCTTCTGCAGCGGCATTTCTACAAAGTGCAGGAGGAGTTGCTGTCGGTCCTATCTTGAATGCTTCCAAGCTGAAGGCTTTGCTTCTTGCTGACGGTAACTCCGCTCGGAAATGGAAAGCCTTAGATCTTTCCAGCAGCAACATCAGGAAGGTGAGCAGCGACTTTAAAGAGGTCTGCCAGGTTTGTGAGGATATTGCAGTGTTCATGCGTGAGGCCCCAAGCACACACATAGGAATACAAGGGATACTGCAATGTATGCGTGCATTCAGATAGAGCTTTCCCTGGGAGAAGTTGCGGCTCTAGACTTCGAATGCCTGACCCACCTTGACTTGGATGGAAACCTGCTAGTCTTGCTAGATGGCCATTCGTTACCTTTTCCTCATCTACAAACGCTGCGGGCCAGCAACTGCCGCATCAACACCATCACAAACTTTGGCTCCCACTTTCGACTTCGCCAGCTGGACCTTAGTGGTAACCAGCTAACAAGCATAATGTAAGAGGAAGTATTCCGATTCCTAGAGGAAAGGATATTATACTACCTATTTGCAGGCATGGTCGTTGTTATAAAACATATATATTATACCACCTATTTGCAGCCACAATCGTGTGTGGCAACCGTCGACTCTGCCAACTGTGAAAAGCCACTCGTTGAACAATTTGTCAGTGGCGGTGTTGCTGTTTTCCCCGCAGAAATCTATCCAATACCCCTTTGCGTTTCACACTTCGCGAGCTAAATTTGGCTAGGAATCAAATAAGGTGAGAACAGGTGATATAGGTGCATGAAGTTAGGAAAGCACAAGGAATGCTTGGCTTTGCTTTACTCCGTTTCTTCCTGAGCTTGTTCTTCTAGAATTACCTAGAGAATCTGCAAATAGACGGTAGTAACAATGCAGTTGATGGAGAGTTGAAGGACCTAGGATGCAGCTGAGTGTACCCGTGGTCTTGTCGTTGTTGCGGCTCAGCGATTTCAAAGGTCTTGCTGCTTTGAGCACATTCAAATCCCTCGAGGTCTTGGACTTAAGGCAAAACCCCATATGCAATTTCGGCAACGTTGTAAGTTTGTTTCGCACACTTCCTTGGGCCCTGTCGCTTACTCGACAGCCATGCCCTTTAACTGATGACTGTCTAGTGCTGAGCTGCTGTGTTTCTCAGGCTGAAGGGTTTGCGTTGATTTGCTGCACAACTCTTCGTCAGCTTAACGGTCACACAGTTTCACCAGGAGTGAGGGAGGCAGTAGATACCTGGGCGCGGGACGAAGCGTGTGGCCGCGCCACCGTGGCAGCTGTGGAGGCTTTCCGGGAAACCCTTCAACATCCCGACGGTAATTAGGCACTTTGGTCAAATCTTCTGTTTTAGATGGGTGTTGATGAAGTAAGAGTAGCTTAATAGATGCCGAGCTGTCTGCGTTCGTTCTTGCTTTTTCAGGTCCTTCGCTGCTTTGCTCAACGAGTCACCCGTCGATGGTGGGACGCTTCAACAGAATGCGAAGTGTCAGGGCCGGCCCCGAGTTGCCATACACCAGCACAGCCGATGCCTCCGTGAATTCCGATGCCAATGGCTCCGATTCCGTATATACGAAGGGGCAAACAGTGGAGGAAGAGGCCTGTCGGTCTGTTCACTCGCGTTCCTGCTTGCATTCGGAATGTAACCAGGGGTTGCACACTGTCGTGACTGCAGTGGAGGCGGCTGCGGATATATCACGGGGAAGCC